AGAATCAATAGTAGACAAAAAAACTGAGTCATTCTCGACTTGAATTTTTGTCAGATGGAATGTAAGATGCTAATAATTTAAAATTACAGCAAGATTTATTCTTTGTTTACTAGTATACGGTAATATAGAAGTTGGAGAATTGGTTTACTACTAAGATGATTGAATTGCGAACATTCGATCGACAAAGACAACCAATTAAATGAGTACAAAATGTCCGAAATTTCATGCCAATAGACAAAAAATTGGTCGTATTTGTCGTTGATTGAAATAAATCGCTTAGTATTGATCGATCTATGCAAGATGATCATAGGATTAAACAGAAATATCTCAAAATATTTCGATTGACTTTGCTCATGTTCAATGCTTTTTTTTTTGTTATTCTTATCGAAAAAATGGTTCAAGTCATTACGATTATGAAGTTTTGCTCAAAATTCTTCAGCGAAAATAATCAGTGACTGCGCTCCAGCAACGATCTTTTTCAACGCTCACAAATTCGATTTTCTCAAATGAATATTTCAATGAATGTCTATAAGAAAGAGCTTCCAAAGAGCTTTCTTGTCGAAGTCAATCGAGAGAGAAAAATATGTTAATGTTCCAATCTTCGAATAGCTTCCGAAAGCAATCGTTGTCACTGATGGACGAGAAAAATTCGAACAACTCCGATTATCAATTAGGAATCTTTCAAATAGACACGGACTAGTTACTATTCTTTAATCCATTCGAAAGTTGGCATAAATACATGCAGGTGCATCTGTCATGAATAGATCAAAAGATTACGAAATGTCTTGGACGCGAATATCTGCAATTTACAAGACTACATTAGAATAAGTGCATAGAATAAGGGTATGCATCGGCTTCCAATCGCTATCAATCTTTTCTTCTTTACCGGTATGGGTATCTAATCTATTAATAGAGAACCTTGGGTTTAGATGTGTGTCGTCTCTTCCCCCGCACCGAACGTTTAATTTCAAATATGGTGTACGCCCAGATTTTCAAAATTATTGTGCATCGATCCAAATCACGAGGAAAAGTTTCAAATCAGCAATGCATACTGAACTGAGCTTATACAGACACGAAAGAATTTTTTATGATTTGATCATATATAAGACTAGGGTCTTAATGTTAAATTCTCGCTTGAAAAGAGAGTATATTTTAAAAGGCTATGTGCTCAAGTATTATACGAATGTGCGACTAACAATCAAATCATTGCCGCATTTCATCATATCTTGTCAAAATCGTTTTAATTTTTGGAAGTCACTATCTGTTTAATGATGATGCAATCACTATTCTCGTTTCTCTTGTATTTGATCACAAAAAGAAGAATGTCATGGTTTTTTTCTCGAGAGGACATCATAACAGTACAATATATTAAATCAAATAATAAGAAAGAAAAGTTCACTGCATTAACAAATGTATACACTACTCTTTAATCTATTCGAAAGGTGTCACATATACATGCAGGTGCGTTTGCCATATTTTGAAGAAAGGATTATTAAACATCCCGGACATAAATATCTGCAGTTCGCAAAACTAAGACGCATTGATAGCTCACAGAATAAGGGTATGTATTGGTTTCATATCGCTATCAATCTGTCTTTCTTTTCAGTATGAGTACTTGAGTTATTGATAGAGTGCCTTGCCGATTGTACCACGAATTGTTGATAAAAACTTTTTAGAAACAACATTTCTTGAAACATCTTCCTTGACAATAAACTTCAGTTTAAGTTATAATTGAATCATCGATTTTTATATTCAATTCGTGAACAATAGACTGAATGAGCGCATTCGTTCGTAGATAGGGGTCAGTTTTCCTTGCTGAATAAATGAGTTCATTTTTGAATTCTCCTGTTCAGCAATTATAATTATCTCTCATTTTGTTCTATCAGTTACAAACGACTGTAATTTTCAATAAGCAATCCAAAGAAGACGAACGCTAGTTAAGCTGAGCAACCTTCTCTTTCATTCCTTGTTGTTACTACATAATAGGAATAAGGAAAAAAATTGTTCTAAACTGTCTCGTGCAATAGCTTCAGTTCGCACATAGTCCAAATCTTACAAAACTATCAAAGTTTATCCAAAACAGTGCAATTTAATTACACATTTAGGCAGACTTCTATATTCAATATGACATAATGTAGCATAGTATTAGAATGATTATTCAAATTTCTTCGCATTACTTTAGGTTGTCAGTAATAATCAAAATGATATCACAAATGTTATTCTTTTTCCCATTGGTTTTGTGTGCGTCGATTCCAATGAAACCAACGCTTACACTCGATGAATTTTTCAATTATGTACATTATCCATCGATCAGTCTGTCTCCAAATGGTCGCCATTTACTAGTTCATACGAGACGACCATTATGGGATTTGAACTCCTATGATAACAGTCTCTGGCTTTATGAAACACAAGGACATGGGAAAATATTGATCACTGAAAAATTGTCAGAAAATTTTACACCAAAATGGTCACCAAATGGAAATTGGGTTGTATTGTTATTGAACGAGAAATCGAATACGAATACCAAGAATGAAGCTACGAGCTTTAGTCGTTCATTCGACAGTCATTCTAAAACGAAACAATACATGTATCTATATTGTACTATATCAAAGCGATTGATACCAATTCCAATTGGATCAAAAGTACCATCTGTTATAACATGGGGCAACAATGATTCATCTCTCTACTTTGCTACAATTTCATCATATTCACCAAAAGAAAATGATCATGCATATTATGTGGAATGGAAAGATGTCATTCAATATCGAAAATGGAAACCAAGTGATGAAAGTACAATTTATCACATTAATATTAATAGAAAAAATCGACTAACATCTGTAAATATCAATATTGTCAAAAATGTTCCTTTTCAAATTGGTGAACTCCTATTTTCATCATCTGAACAGAAACTTATATTTACATCAGTCAAACAAATCTATGAAAAGATGAATGACTTTGAAATGTATTCAATCGATCTTTGCAACGTATCATCATTATTAAGATTAACAACAAATGAAGCAATCGAATCAGATTTAAAATTGTCCAACGATGGTAAACATGTTCTATTTCATGCGTTGGGTCGGGAGTTGACTAGCAGTGAGAATGTCATTACACAAGAAAGACTATATTCGCTGGATCTAACAAGTGGACAAATTCAACGTATAGCAAAAGATTTTAACGGCCATATTATGGAATACGCTATACGACCCAATGGTGGAGTTTACATACTTGGACAATTAGGAACCAATGTTCAAATCTATACACAACAATCTTCGAAAAAATATACAGTTTTACATCGTGGATGGGATGGAACATATGTATCTATTTCATCATCATCATCACTCCATGGAAATGGTTCGATTGCATTTGTTTATTCATCTTACTGGCAGCCCAAAGAAGTTTATGTCATTGACAATATAGATGAACTTACATCTGCTAAAGTCCTAACAAACGAAAATAAACTATTTACTGAACGAAATTTACCTCAAGTAAAAACTTATCAATGGACTAGTGATGAAGATGATCGTACGATCGAAGGACTTTTACATTATCCACCTGGAAAATTTGGATCAACAAATTTGCCTCTTCTCGTACTTATTCACGGTGGTCCATATGCAGCAAATGTCAATCAATTACATGCTAGTGGAGGTTTATGGGCACCACTGGCAGCTACAGAAGGTTGGTTAGTATTGGAACCAAACTATCGAGGATCGACAGGATATGGTGATCAATTTCTCAATGAAATTCGTTATCAACCTTTAACTCGATCAGGAAGAGATATTCTTTCAGGTATCCATCGTTTAATTCAGGATGGTATCGTTGATGAAAATCAACTAGCCATTGGTGGTTACAGTTACGGTGGCTATCTAACCAATTGGCTGATAACACAAACTACAATTTTCAATGCTGCTCTCTCAGGTTCTGGGTCAGTTGAATATGTTTCTACTTGGGGTATTATGGATTCTCCTATGCTTATAGATTATTTGTTTGGTGGATTTCCATGGAATGCATCAAAGACTTATGAAATGGAATCTCCTATTTATCAATTGAATAAAGTGCATACACCTACACATATTGTTACTGGAGCAGACGACATCCGAGTTCCTACTGACCAGAGTTATATTTTGGAACGTGGACTACATTATCTTGGTGTACCTGTTCAACTTTTAATTTTTCCCAATGAAGGACACTCATTAAGAAACAATCCATGGCATGTTAAAATCAAAGTTCGAGAAGAACTTAAATGGTTACAAAAATATGGTCATCAAAGTTCTATGGTAAATGGCAACTAGATTTGAACCGTGCATTGAAATGGGATACGCTTTTCTAGAATAAGAATCACTAATAAAATGACGTCTCGATTCGTTGATTCGATGCAAAGAAAATAATAGATGCTAAAAATGAACGTTCGACACAGCACATGCTAGTAACCAAATTGAAGAGAAAAAAAACTACGAAAATAGCGCTCACAACGTTGAAGGTTAATGACAATTCAGTGACAAAATTTTGATCAGAGATGGAAGGAAAACTTGATTTGTTTTCTGTTGATGAAAAGACTGCATTTAGATCATTCTATAAGTAGAGATAAAATAAAAATTTTCTGTTAGCCTAGCGAAATATTTCATATATTTTGCTGTATCAAATAATAAAATTATTTTTTTGATAGAGATAAGACACAATGAAATTAATTCTAAGATAGATAATATCATATTCATAATTGTTTTGAATTTTATCTACGAAGTCGTTCGTGAAAGAAACTAATGAAAGCCGACACTTAAGCTCACATATGTTGTATCGGAGTACTTCGAAAAGATCCATAACAATAATCAAATGATAGTACGGAAATGAAGTCTGATTCTTTATCTGTGTGCAACCATTCAAGTGCTTTTGTCATGCCACTTGTCTGATGAGAGAATAAATCGAATATCACTTTCTAATAGGAAATGCTATTTCGATCGATACGGTCTCTTCTGTCAAAATATACATCTTCAATATTAGCTTTCACAACAATATCAATGACCCAGTTTACTCTGCAAATTATCTCGAAAAGTCTTATACTTGGACAATTAATCTTGTTTTTTTTTCTTTCAAGTACTATTGCTGTTATTCGCTAGATGACAGGAACAAATATGATTGACAGTAGTTCATCCAGAGATTGGATATTCTCAATTCCAGCCATCATCAAAAATTAGTGAACTTCATGCATGATACAAATAACCTATAAAAAAATGCATGCACAGACTATGATCGAAGTGCGCATAATCATCGTAATAAATGTTCGCTGATTGCCATTCACTTGAAGGACGGTACTCTAGGAAACTTATCTCACTCAATGTGCACCATCGACATGAAGCTATTCGTCAATTGATCATTAAAATACTCTCAGCAATAATAGCAATGATTCGATCAGACAAACACGAACTTCAAGGAGTAGATGACCAATAACATCCATTTACATTGATCATGGCTGATAATGTTTGGACTGATGGAGGTATAGGTAAGCCAGTACACATGACTGTCTCACTAACACCCCCACCCTCATACAGATAAGAAAAAGTAGTAAGCAGACGAATTCTTATTTCAAGTTTTTTAAGAAAAATAAGCACAAAATCGTAAACATTTCAGGGATATGATATCCTTATCAGATATTGCGCCTATATTGATACTAAGTGTTCGCTGACGATTTTAATGACGACTAAGATACTAAAAAAAGGCAATAATTACTCCAAGCATCGCCGATGACTTCTGTATTTGAGACATTTTGTCGACTGAAATTGTTTAAGTAACTATATCCACGGGTCAATTGATAAAAAGCATTACACAATACGTGTAAATCCCTTTCGTATGAAAACTTTACATGTGAAATGATTTTATTCAATCCAGAGTTAAGTTAGTATAATTATAATTCAAGCATAAAGATATTTTAAAAAAAAAACGAGTTCGCTTTAGTGTTTACACTTAGCCTTCCCAAGCGAATTGTGAACAATTGCAGCCAGATGGTTTTCTACAGCGTTTGAAAAAGAATCCCTGTACACGACAACGCCACCAGTTGGTACATCGAGCCGTGCAACCCAAGTCAATTCCACCTCTAATGATTCGTTCGTGCTCATCGTCGTCATGCTTCATTGAGAGAACACCAAAACCATCAATCATAATCATGGCTACCAAGAGAAAGACAGCATAGAAACGAAGTTGCATAATTTCAGTTGATCGATGCAATGAAATTGGCTGCTGTTATTTTAATATTGAAATCAAAAGAATATTTATACTTTGTATCAGAGGCAAGTTCCTTTCATACATTGTATATTCTCCTTTTTTTTCATCGTCATAAATACATTTTAGTATGTATGATAGCTTAAAAAAGAATTATGTGAAAAGCATAATTTGTTTTTACATAAATAGAGCTGTAGCTGTTATAAAATATATGTTAATATGATTGTGATACAAAGCAGCTCCAAATAACTTCAATGTCTCATTATATTTATGACTACTTCATCGCGTTGTGATACTTACTCATGCATCGCTGATTCATATACTATTATCGAAGCAAAGATTAGGTCAAGCATAGAAAGTTTATGTAAACGACTTGTAATTAAAAAGTAACACTTAAAACTTGTTTTTGATTAACAAGTACGCAGTTTTGTTCCAGTAAAATATATAATACGTTGTACTTCAAGATGAATGTTTGTACTTTCGAGTGTGTTCATGAACGCGTTATCAAAAAATATCAAACGTTCACATCTTACGATGAAGTGACGTAATGAAATTTACTTTTTCATTCGTTGGGTTCGTGATGAATTTCATGGTAAGGTTGGAAGAAGATCCACGCCCATGTTTGCATTCCAATATATCTTGTTAAACAAAATATCCAAAAATTGACATAAATCCACATTTATTTTTTATTTTTCGCCTTATATCTTTGGTTTTTGTTTATTTTTGCTCCTTTGAAATAGTGCAATAAAGAAACTATTAATAACCATCAATACCAATCGATTCGTGCATTTGTGTGGATCCAGAATCAAAAGCATAGTTTAAAAATATAGTTTTTAACAATAGTTAATGCGCTTACATTTGAATAAAAATAAATCTGCCAAAAAGTCATTATAAATTCTAATGCATTAAGACCAATTTTTTGGTTAAATATGCTTCAAGCAATCTGGCACGGTGGTTATGTATGACATATAAATGAATACTAATATTTGTAAACAAAACATGGAAACGTAGTTTTTGGACAAAAATGCCACATGAGAAAGTTTCAACGAATGATTACACATGTATTTTTACTTCATCCACATAAACGCGTCAAAATGAGTTAATACTGAGAAAATGGTTTAATGTGTTACTTCTTATAATATAACAAATAAACATATGACAAAGCGTTTTTTTCTTGTATTTTTTCATTGAAATGCATTAGAACATCGTTAGAGCGTTTATCTGTCCGCGTGGATTTCATATCTAGAAAATATGTCAGAAGATTGAGTATTCACATTTGATCACCGTCTAATGTCTAGTTATCCGAGAAAGTTATCACATCACTATAAGTATAATGTGTCATCTGAATTTATGGTGCGTATGAAAAGGATCAGGATGCAACTCATACTAGATAGATGATATCACACTATTCTTAATTGTCAAAGAGCAACTATATATTCTAAAATAAGACTAATAAGGAAGCTAGGTCGTGCATTTTCTCTATGTCGGTTCAATAAGACCTATTACATAGTTATATGATCAAATTATAACTTCGAAAAATAATCATTATCAATATTAGTGAGTAGAAATGAAATACTTAATAGTACGTTAATATCTGCTGCTGCTGCAGATATAATGGATATGTACAATAAGCTTATTGGTCGATTAATTCAATGCTTAGAATAATAACAATATCAAATTGCGAAAAACAAAATACGAAAAAGAACAATAACGAGCAAATAGTAGCAAGGTAAAAAGTAGGACGCCCGTAGAAAAATAAGAAAATCTCTGTCCGAAATGTAGAAATAAATAAGACAAATCCTTACTCTTCTAAACAGTTGTCTTGTAAACAACTGTACTCGATGAGAGATGTTGCACTTTATCTATTTTGTATTAGTTCAACATTCCAGCTTCAAAGTGGCTGCGCTAACAAGCTTTTCTAAAGAACGGTAAGAGCTATGACAGAGACTTTTTATTATAGATATTGCCAACCACGGGCTATCTTTCCATGGCAATGAAAATATCTTATCTCTTAACATTTTTGGGTTGATATTATCTGACATTTCAAGAAAGCACGGCCACATGATTAATCAGGTTTCTTGAAAGAATTTTGTTGTTGTCGAAGAAGCATGATCACTCGTATCGTTCAGAAATAGAGAGAAGAAGAGTAGCACTTAATTGACTTGAGACTCAACATGCAAATAAGAAATCAAGAGCCTGACATTCAAAGGTAAAAAAAGTGATGTGACTCAAGAGCAGATTTCTAGTCAAAATATTGTTGTCCGTAAGTAAGGGCAGGAGCAGAAAATGTTCCGAGCTCTCTTCATTTTATTGTGTACTTCATGAAATATGCTTCTTGTAATTTAGATAATACGCCAAAAAGGTTCGTATAAATATCCCGAACAAATCAAGTGAAGCCTGCTCCAACAATTGCTTCAGAATTATATATAACCAATACATTCGAAGCATCTGTTACCATTGATGATAAGAGTGTGAACACATATTTAACTCTTCTAAGAAAATATGTGAGCAGAAAATTCTGCTATCATTCAGATATCGCTGCTGAAGCAAAAATAATTAAAACAAATGAAGGCGTAGGATTTCAAGTTGAATTATGGACATTGGTGGAAAAACGATGAATAAAATTAATCAGTAATCCGTAGAATGGTGAAGATACACCAGGCCAAAATGTTGGAGATGTATTTGATGAAGAAAATTATAACTTAAAGACGAATACAACTATCATACAAGGAAATCAAATTGAACACATACTATTGCCTGAAACACAAAAGAAAATTAGTTGTGTTGCATGCAATGATCAAGAAAAAAAATCTTGTTCAAATTGTGATGGTTTTAGGCAAATTAATCACAAACCTAATACGGTGAGTGAAATGCACGATTCAGCGTGTTGACATAATCAATATAGATTATCAAGCAGGACATTATACGAATAAAATAAATACACAAAAAGGTAGATAAATCTGCTGCTATGTAATCCTAGATATTATCATGTTGGCGAGTAATTATATGATATCTTTTCCATTTAGGTTCCACTACATTCACTTTTCTGCGTTATAGACGTGATCTTAAGAATAATCCTGAAATTTATGAAAACGACTATCCATTAAATATGTGCGGTTGCCTTGGACATGGATGTGCATGTTGAGGTAGATGTTTCTTGATTTTCTAACACATATTCAACAGTCTACAATAAAAACTTTCGTCAATCTGACTATCTTCCAAAAACGTTCTATTTTCCAACCTCTTTTTATTTCTATGAATCATCAATCAAACTAGCCTAACATTTCATAATAAATGCCGATTTCAGGAAAAGAACAGCGTGAAAATTAGTAGAATATATCTATACTCATCTCCTCGCTCTAAAGAATCATAATAACATAGATAAATGTCGCAAATCAAATTAGCATTCAATTCCTACTAGTCCGACGGAACAGCAAGCTATCATTATGTTTTCTTTAAAAGAGCTTCGAAAGCTGACTTCGAAAAATCTGATTCTCATCAACAGAGCTTATTGACTTATTTTCACTGGTCTTGAAATAACAACCAATCCCGAAGAAATGAGATGATCTTTCAAACAATTACAACTACTATCGACCTAATTCAATTGAACTCATTCGGTTCGGTTCGATTTTGGGTTATTGTTTAACTTTGTATACAGTCAGTGTCGTGATTTATCAGTCGTTTTTTAACGTTAATCCTTCCTAGTCCTTATAAAAAGATTTTGATTCTTCTGTTTGAGCGTGGTACTTTCATGCCTGGGTCGAGAAGCGTAATTGTGGAGAAGTGATGTGGGTATTGGTAATGCGAAAATCATTCCACACTCGAACACACAATCAGAACTACGCAGAATTCCGACATGGTTCAAAAAAGAAACGCGTTTAGATGTGTTGGAAGTTTTTTTTCTTACAACACCTAGATACGTTTCATGTGAGACCATATTCAGACACGTTTTAAATTTTTGTCAACTACGTTTAGATGCGTTTGAAAACAACATCGTGTTGAAATGCGATGATTTTGCGTTCGGTGTTTATATGGAGCTTGAAAGCGAACGATGAAAACAGAAATCGAATATTTGCTTACTGCAGCAACTGGCAACACAAGCATTTCGTATGATTTCTTCGTCTTCATTTCATAAGCAAGCAAAATAAACTTTGCATTCTTTTAACAGTTGTCGCAGGCTCAATAAAATTCACTCGCTGTTGCAGAATTATTGACCTTCGTTCGAAGTAAGAAATAAAGGTAAAATTTTTATTTTAGTGCTACTCATACATGTAAAAGCGATAGAACATAATAAAGAAATGGTTTCATTCAAGATCACACTTACAATATGAAGATCGTTAACATCAACAATACTATGGACATCGACAACATTAACAATAAATACAAATTTCAAACGTATACAGATCATCCTGTTATATTTATTGGGCACACACACATTGGCAAATCAATCGTGACGAGTGTTCAAGGCGGCATTTTCCATACTTTATCAAAGTCTACATTTTATAGCGAGACTTGTACAACCATATTTTATAAACTAACGAGTTTCACTCTTGATGGAAGTTTTCGTCTATTTTTGATAGTGGTAGACACTCTAGGTTTTTTTGCTCTTTCGCCATGAAGACTATCTGAGTAGAGGGTTTTCAACAATGACACTCCCAAAACTTTCATCAATTTATGTGTACCTGACGCCACTGCTAATATGCATTTCTTCATTCTTTTGATTAGTCTCGCTGATTAGATCAATCAAAAAGATATTGAGATGATGCTTTATATTCAAAAACAATACTATTGTTTAAGTTCTCAAGTTGCTTTTATGACAACTGATTGTGAAGAAACTGATAACAATGTCAAGGAAGATTCAATCAAAAATATAGTCGATCATCCCGTATTGGTCTGAGACAATCTAAGCAAAGCATTTTTTAAGAAGAATGTATTTTTCATTGGATGCATTCAATATGACTGTTGCGAAAAAAGAGATATTAAAGCGTCGAAAAGACAGTATGAGAATGTGTCAAAAAATGCGTACACAGCTGATAGACAAAATACTGGCATCTGAGGGGAGTTTCAAAATTAATCATTATAGAGAGCCATTGCTCTATTTTTTATCGTATCTTTTTTTCTCATTTGTAGATTTGTCGAATGAAATGTTAATCGTTTCAAAAACGTGACAGAGGTCTTCAACGTAACTAATAATAGTACTGACATGGAACAGATCACAAACAATTTGAAGGCAACTGATGTGGTATATAATAAGTATCGAATTAATCGCTGTATAGATCGGAATATTGTGCTTATCGGAAGATTGCGAACTGGTAAGAGTACTTTAATTAAAGTCATCGAAGATGTTTCGTTTCAACCTAAGCGTCGATCCTTGTATACTGAAACGCAAGAAATGCAGTTTCACAAGATAGTGATCGATAACAACAATGGAACACTGATCTACTTTAATATTGTTGACACACCAGGGTTCTTCAAAGTGGCTAGTGATGACCGAGCAGACAACTCTAATGATCGCATTAAACAGATTATGGATGGCTGTATTGCAAATGACATTACCAATGTACACTTGTTCGTATTCGTCTTTAATCTTGCTAGCCGCATCACCAATCAAGATATTGAGGCAATGAAACATGTGAAAAACAAATATCCCGGTCTTGGTAAGCACATGGCTCTCGTGGTAACCCACTGCGAGTGCCTAACAAAAGGAATCCGACAGCAGTTAACTGAAGAATTTTTTGAACACAAAGACGTCAAGGCCAATAAATTGATCGAATTCTTTGGTCAAGGTATTTTCCATATGGGCCGCATTAGGCACGAATCATTCGAACAGAAAAGTAAACGAGCCATATATGAAGAATTCAAAAATATCCGGGAAATGCGTACAGCATTTATTGAAAAATGCGTAAGCTGCGAGACAACCTACAATGTTCATTGAGACAACATTTGTATCATTCTTTGAACTGTCTGCATCAGAAACTTGAAGGCTATAAAATAATATCGTGTCGTATGCGTACAAAAGCTTCTTCTCGCGTGCAAATTCAATTTTCACATTGTCGGTTTCTTGCTTCTTTTGTCTTAGAATTTGTTCATGTTGGTAATCGAATAACAATATAAATAAACTTGAACTCTAACTATCTAACTCATTGTGCATACATTCAAGCAGATAATGTACAAAAAACCAGTGAAAGGAGAAGAGACAATCACAAAAATGTGAGAACGCTAGAATTTCTTCTGAATAGACTCTAATCACAGGAGAATATACCTCGAGATAAGAAATATCGATCGGGCTGAACTTTCGGCTGTATATGGGTTCTAGTGAGACTACATTTTTGAGATTCTCAATTCACCTCTCTTCAAGGAAATATCGTCTTAATCAGTTTGAGACTATCTGAAATACTGTAAAATTTTCTAATCTGTATGTCATGAGTACGTTCCCTCTATGTATAATTATTTCTTATCATTGAGGGTGTGGGTACAGGTGAGAGTGTATGACTGGGAGGGTGGATTTCGGCTTGACCATTGCGCACTAAAGACCGGTATAAAATTTGGCACCCCCACACACAATTGACAGCTTCAAGCATTTGATGTGAAAGTCTTGTAGATTTGCATCAAGAATAACGACAACGATTTCTAGTAAATATAAAATTAGTCCAGACGAAAGAGTTACGATCTTAAACGGTTGTAAAAATGTAACTTGCTGTTTTGATTGTAGTCTTTTTTTCTGCTGCACATTAACATGTTGTAAACTGGCACAAACAAACGAGTATTCGCAATTTACGATCGTTTGTGTCAGTTTAAGATATCATGATACAGAACTCAAATACGACGAAACGTTACAGCTATACACGTCTGTTTATGATCACGACTCTTCATCTTGAGTATTTAAAGAACAATTTCGAACACTAATATCATTTCTTTTGCACATATGATGAAGACGTGCATCTCATTTTTGTTTCTGCTGGCAATAGCTGTGGGAGTTGATAGCACTATGATGAACTATAAAAATAATCATACACTAACAAGTAAGAATACACATGATTCTATGCATATCATGTTCGAGTGTTGTCGACTATGTTTCAGAGAGAGTGTATTAGAATAAAAATTGAGGCTATCGTGTTTTTCTTATTGAAGAAAAAAATATAATTTCTCTTAGCACATGATTGAATAGATTCAACCGTCATGCGTCGTCGGTTCGCTACTCTGGCTTTATCCTGTGTCCATCGTGAATATCCAAATAAAGTGGCTCATGTTCTCGTATCAGATAGTGATGCCAAACCACCTCGTCAATTGACTCCAGCTTTTTATGGTTGTTTTGATTGGCATTCGGCTGTTCATGGTCATTGGCTTTTAGCTCGTCTAGCTCGAATCGATACGAGTCTAGCGGCAGAATGCCGCCAGGCACTTGCAAAAAGTTTTACTAAAGAAAAGCTCCTCAATGAAGTCGAATATATAGACAGTGATCAACGACAATCCTTTGAACGACCCTATGGGTTGGCATGGTTCTTGCAACTTGCCACAGAATTAGACGAATGGGAACAGGAAGAGAAAGACGTAAGTTTAAGAAAGCAGTGGAATACTTGATATCATCAGAATTTTTCTTCTCTAAACAAAAATCGAGAATCTTATGTTACATATGTTTCATTTCGATTGAGAGTTTTTCTTTCTATTACAAAGTAGGCTGTTATATAGATAGACAGGGAAAATGATATTTTTTCTGCTTTATGTTTCCTTTATGCTGCTGGTTTTCAGAAAAGATAGATTTCAGCTTGTTTCTTATTCTCGAAAATACCTTACCAAACGTATCAAAACAGTTTTCCTATGTGCTTATATTGCTTAAGAACAAAGAAAAGCACCACTTGTAACCATTATAATTCAGATATTGTTTTTGTAGAATGCTGATGAGATTCATCAATGGCGTGAGAATATACGTCCACTGGAGACACTGATTGTTAGACGTCTCTCTTCTTGGCTTCCAAAACTATCTTATCCTGTTCGCAGTGGTGAACATAGTCAGACAGCTTTTGCACTTGGCTTCTCGCTCGATTATGCTCGCCGGATGAACAATACCGTGTTCGCTCAACTTATCGAACAACGCTCACTTGTATTTTTTTCGTCGGATAAAAACTACCCATTCACCTATGAACCATCGGGTGAAGATTTTCTCTCTGCTGGTCTGGCTGAAGCTGATTTAATGCGTCGTGTTATGAATAAAAACCCACAAGACTTTGTTCAATGGTTTAATGAATTCCTCTCAACCGAAATTCTACCGGCTAGTCTCGAACCGCCATCAATTGCCGATCCGACTGATCCAAAATTAATTCACTTAGCTGGCTTATGCATTAGCCGCGCATGGATGCTAGATGGAATCATCGATGCCCTATCCTTCGATACTGAACAAAACAATCTCCGTGATCAATTGTTTGAATTAAGCAAAAGAAATGCTGAAACAGGATTGACGGCTATTGATGAAAGCAATTACGAAGGAGGACATTGGCTGGGTACATTTGCAGTATATCTTATCACGCGTTCTCAAGGACCCACGAATGACAGTGTTGGTCAAAATTATGGGATCACCATACTGCTATGTTTTTTTTCAAAGGTTTTTCTCTAGACTATGTTACAGTTTATTTCCAGTTCTATTTCTGTGAATAGATTCAGCCATATTCTATCAGAATATGGCAAGAAAGTCTTGTTAAGTCCAAGCATACACTCTACAGTATCCTGACTACTAGTGATATTGTTGCCATTATGACTGTAGGCCAGAGATAAAAATTATTACTCTCAGTTTTCAGCTACTTGAATCTCATGCAATGCAGTGGTTTTAAAAAAAATTTAAACCGAGAAGTAATTTTTTTTTGATGCAGTAACTGCTGATGAAAAATTTGAATTTACTCAGTTCTCAATAGGTTTCCACAAGAGGATATTTGATGGCAACCAATGCGCATGTTGAACGATGATTGTTGACGAAACTTGAGCCACAATCAGTCTATATCAAATAATTGTAAGCTATACTATGTAAGGATCAACTCTAAATACTACCTCTTCAACAAATAATACGCGCAGGATTTTTCAAACTCATTACCGTTCCGAGTAGATTACTCCTTCTAAGATCCTTTAATTAAATGCTTTGAAAGTGAGTTGATAAAACTGAAGCTTGTATTGGTCAGCATTTCACTAGTATTAATCACATCATGTAGTCATTAAAAACAAGTAACGCTCGTCTGTGAGACTCGCTTGACCCTCGACTGTATATTCGGCTCTTCCCATTTTTTCTTGCGATTTACAATCATCAACACAGCTAGTATTCAATGTTTCAAAATGGTGGGTAGGTGTGTTTACGCTAATATTAACGTCAATCTCATTGTGCATAATTGTATGCGGGTCTGGTTGAACAGTTTTGTCACAAATGCATCCAATCAAATTGATACCCTCACATTGACACTCAACAAAAATCTAAGGAACCAAACGATGGCGACGATATCCATATGTACCCAAAAAAGGAGCTTATACTCAGCTTTCTGAGAGGTAATGAAGCAAAAATAATTCGCGACACTTTCATGAAAACGCACCTTACTCATAATTTCTACTACAAATCCGTTCGCTTGCTGACACGTCTGTTGACAATATTGTTTACTAGAGCGTCCGCTAGGAAAATACGGGTTTACTTGAACTTCTACCTTAAAATTAATCATATAAGGTCTGGTGTATAATCAAACTGCCATACTTGAAAGAAGCTCCTACTCATATTAACCTTCAGAATAGATAGGTAATTTGAATATATCCATATACATTTCGACATTTAAATGAGTATCGACAAGAAAACATTCCAGCAAGGAAACTCCCGTTTATTTCATTCAAATAGCATTCCGATAGAACGAATATAAATTCTATAAATAATGGTTTCCCCCAAATGTACTATTCAAATATTGCACACGTGCAGAAAAGGCGTTCTCACACTTTATTTCAAACTATTTCTCAGGTCTTAGCAACTGCTACTCCTAAGTCAAACCCTTTAGATCTAGACTCTTCATGTTTATTTGACGAATTCCGACAGCCTGAAGCGTTCCTTCAAGAAACTTNATCTCTGCTGCTTTTTTTAACCTTGACACACAGCCACACACACACACAAACTATTTTTTTTCATATGACCCTCCCTACAGTCGAGGGAATGATATGATAGATTCATATTATGGAAAATACTGATTAACTGTGCCACAAACATTTTGGAACTGATTAAAATTTTTCTGCGATATTTGCGGTTTTGAACAAAGGATGGGTAATGGGGTGAAACTGTCGGTATTTGTAATAGGTCATGTTGTCGTGATACACACCGACATTCGTTGCAAGAGATGAAGCGATTAGAAGGAGAGTATCAGTTAAGATAGTGAAGGTTAATATCAGAGGAGGCATGCATGAGATCGGATAATGGTAATGATTTTGTGCGGATGATGGTTGATGAAAGAAATAATAATAGTAGATGTAGCATGATAAAGGTGAGTGCGAAGATTGGTACAAAGGGCATTGTAAAAGAAAGTATTTGAGAACATTAGTTATTGGAGCGAATAGAATGATATGATAAAGAAAGAGGCGCATGATAACATATGCATAAGGAACAAGGAAAAGAGATATAGAAGAGATAAAAATAGGAATGAGAGAGAACCAAGAGAAAGATATAACGAAAAGAGATACAGGAGAGGAATCGTGAGGAAAGAAAGATGATCTACAAAAAAGAAAAGGAATCTCACAGTTTAATGATTTCATTATATAGCTTTTCTTTCTTGCTAGATTTTATTCTTTTCTCTTGAAATGTATTTCTAATAGGAATGAATTCATTATCTTTTACTTAAAATTCTGCTATAATACAGGACTGTATTCAAGTAAATACTTTTTAATTCAATGATCTGGATTTCGTTCAAGTTGACTTTATTCATAATCAGTTATGAAAATTATTGTCCAAGAAAATTTGTGTGACATTTTCTTTTTTAAATTTTGTTTCAAAATTTAAAATATACACTTGTTGATTTCGATAAACAAATGCACTTTATTTGATTAAAATAAGTATAATCTTTTTAAATTTGATATGCATATGTTCGACACATCCCTATCATAGATTGAAAATACTCTTTTCGTTTTATTCTTCTTTTTCTCAATCACCTTCAACAACAATACGAACATGACCACCCATTTATATTGGACTCGATGCCGAAAAGCGTGTGTACCAGAAAAAAGTGTTAAAAATGGTTACATATATACCTGAAGCTTATTATGCTCGTATGGTTCAAATTGGAATGACTGATTCATTCGTCAACTCATAGGGTGATGTAACTCGCGAACAAAATAAGAAACTAAAGAATCTAAATGAAAAATTAAAGAAAGCAAAAACAAAAATGGAAAGTTGAAGATTAAAAAGAAAATGAAAACAATGTGAAGCAACGAAGTACAATACAAGTAGATAAATCAATCAAAGCGATAACTAATGCAGTCTTTACATTTGTCGATGAAAGTCACGATTTATCTGAAGAATTATATTCTGATCATATTCATCTTAGAAAGTCTTTCCATGTACTATATTCATAGACACTTCATCAAGAGCAAAACCGTTGATGTTAAAAGCAATTAGACGGCAATCTTTTTTATGATTATTTTTTTTTGTCTATAGATAATGTCATAATCCTCAATAGCCGCTACTACTCTGAACATTAAAAAACTTTTTTAAACCTAAAACTTTCTCTTTAGTTTTAGTGTTCTTTTTTGTTTTATCAAAAATTTTTTTCTTATATAGAATATTCACCTATGATTTATTTTATTGTAGATTAATTCTTATTATTCATCTATTATTTGACTATTATGAGAAAGTACAATATTCGTCACTGTCATTTTCAACGCCATCCATGAATTGTGCTAACATCTGACGATGATGATCATAACGATAATTTTACGAAAACCCGTATGTTCTAAACAGATAGCATCCAAAATTCATTCTAATGAAATACATACAAATAGAATACCAGTGACAACTGCTAATCAACTATAACTAAGTAGTTATATGATCGTCACTATCACCATCACCACAGTCATCGATCACAAGACAAGAAACAATTACAATGTAACATATTGAAGTCATCGATTTGATGACACTAAAAAGAAGCACCTGTTGGTCTTTATCAACCAAAATATATGCCACGTTAATGTGGTTCATTTTTGTCATCAACAATGTTTATTTTGTCTACTAACATTTTCAATAATCATTTCCAATAAATGTTTACTCCTGTTAACAATATCACATTTATACTAGCGAGAACCCATGCATACTGCACGGTAGCGTTTTTTTCTTTAGCGTACTACCTCAAAACTTTAACCTTTCACTCGATAACAGACACAGAGACACTCGACATTATGTACATTGAAGTCCTTCAGCGTGATATACTTACATTGCTAATACCCCATGTAGCCTTATGCGCTTCAAACCTTACCACTTGTAGCCTAATCGTCCTAAAGCGTTCCCTTCTTGTAGGCCTATCCCTTTATTCGACCTTTGACCCGAGTAGTCATAGAAAAATTTTTCGATTTTAATCCGAATTGTTATGTAATAAAGTCTATATTATAATTGGCTTTGGAAATCTTCTCTGACCACCTACACTCAACTTTAGCTCTATTCATTAAGAGTGCTATGTGGGAGAACCCGTCTAATTTGATAATACATTGTTTACTTTTTTCCAACATTTCATTAACACAACAAGTTTATAGACTTTGTCGACAAATTTTCTCAGTATACGTGAGAAATAGATAACATTATAATTTTCTCTTTAGATGGCATTTATGATATTAACAAACGATAATATTTCATCAGTTTTCCATATATATTAAGTGTGTTTATTGTGTAAAAATGAGAAAAAAATTCTTCTTGAATAGAAAAAACAGAAAAATATATATAAATAAGTTAAGAATCTATTACAAAGATCACCGACCAGAAAAAAACAAAACAAAGAGAAGATCATATTGACGATTTAAAACGTTTCTTTGTCGTCAAATCAGGTTGATCTTCGAAATGACTTGATAATTGAATATGAAAAAGTAATGAACGAAGAAGATTATTTTCACGGCATATTTCTTCATCATATGTTGACATTTTAATAATATTTATCTGATGATTTTCTTTATCTGACATCATGGATTTTGTTACAATAATTAAAGGATTAAATTTATTTACAGTCATATTAAAATGATCAATTTTATCTTTTGGTATAATAAAAGTTTGTTCAAATGTATTCGTATTTTGAAGAAAAATAAATAATTGTTTACAAATGGCACAACAATGAGTATCGAAAATATTCAAAAGATTATCATAAGTTGGAATCGGTGGAAGACTATTGCAGTAAGTATTGAGTAGTGAAAGACATGCTTGATAAAGTGATAAAAACCAAGAAGGAAAATGAATCATTGGATCACGTTCTAAAATAGAAATAGAAATTTCGTTTGTTTTACGAAAAATTTAAACTAACTTCTTTTTCGAAATATTTGATTTTCATTCATAAAATGTCGATAAATTTGAATAAGAGTTGGTACAAGAACTGTTCTTAAAAGATTAGTAATAGTTGATGTATTAGTTGTTGTTATTGTTGTTATTTTTATTTGTCGTATAATTTGTTGAGAAATAATTTGACATGATGCTTCAAAAGAATCCATTGACAATGATAAAAGTGCAAGTAAATTAGCAAGATCAGTTACAGATGGCATTGGATTATTTGATTTAAAGATATTTGAAAGTAATTCATGAATAAGTACAAGTATAAAATTCGAATTTACATTTCGTGATGATAAAATTCCAATAAATTTAATAGCATCTCGAATTCGATCTGTATCACGTGAACGTCGTTTAAGAACCGTACGAAAAACTTGATGAAGATATAATTGAATTTTTGTATCTTTTGAATAATTTAAAAGATAAATAATATCATCATATTCTTGTTTATTATTCATTGGAAAAAATTGTTCTAAAAATTTTTTATGCTCAAATAATTGTCGAATTATAATAATAAGATCATATGTGATTGTTTTATCAGATAAAAGAGGAAGTAATTGATGAAGAAGTGATTTAGCATTAAAATGTATCTTCTTCGAACTTGTTAATAACCAATCAAGAAGTAAAAATGTTTCACTACGTTGATTATGATAAGGAATTAAATTTTGTTCAAGATGTGTTAGTACACGTGGGATATTATCAATTAAAAGATCATATTTATGACTAACGGGAACAAGACACCAGATAGGAACATTAAATTGTTCAATAGATATTAAACTGCCTAAATTTAAGAAAAAAAAACCACTTTTAAAGATTCGCTTTATAAAAATAATAGTTTCTGGAAAGATTTTTCAAATCTTTTTTTTTAATCTCACTGACAGCAAATAATATATTTACGCAGGGCACAACAAAAGTATTGACTGTTTTTCTCTATAAATTTATTTCAGAATATTTCTTGAACATATTATTCGAATCATCTTGATTGCAGTACTTAATAGAGTGATTAAAGGATCCTTTGGTTAATTAAATATTCTCTGAGGCAAGGTAAATTTTCATGTCTCTTCTTTTTTTTTTGTTTTTAATTGTTTGACTAGTTAAGTGAATAAAAGATATGAAACTAACTAACTGTCAAGTGAAGTCCTCCAACTGATAAATTGCTTTTGAGTCAAGAGTATAATGTATTATGAGTTGGCATAGTTTCCTGATAAGTCAAACTGTAGCTGGTAGAGATTTTTTTGTTCGTAAATCTTCTGCTTTCAAGATTTCGGGTGTATTTCTATGTAACAAATCTCAAACTCGACATTTACTAACATTTCATGTAATCACTACATTTCTCTTTGTCAAGCATGTCCAATAAAATGTAATCAATCAGAAGACTTTTTTTCTAGTAAAAAAATAATTTAACAAATAGTATGAAAAAAAATTGGTTGTAGATGATTAGCTTTATCCTATAGAATTTGATAGATTAGATCATATTGTCTTGTATTGTCAGTAAAATATTTTGAAGATAAATAAAAACAAACCTTGTTCAGATCTTGTTTTTCTTAAAAAAATATTTCCTGAATAAGTTTCATTACAATTTCCCAAACATAAATCAATTTTATCAAAAAGTGTATTTCTTGTAGTAGAAACCATTAAATTAAGATCCGTTAATAATCGACAAGCATGTACCGTTCCATCATTAGATCGATTTGGTTGAATAATACCTTGATAAAGTAAAAATTTATTTGAATGATATTGTTCAATAGTTCGTCGAAGAATTGTTCCAATAACTCGATCGATTCCATGTAAAAGTGGATTATTTCCCAAATGATATGTATCAGAAAATGGAATAATTATTTTTGTTGAATAACCATGATAATCATGTTCTAATCCATTAATCCATGTATCTAAAATTCTTGCAACACGAATCATTGTTGTTTCATTAATATTAACATTATAAAAAATCGTTGATGTTAATGGAATAATATCATAAATTAATATTAATTTATATCCATCGGATATATAATCAATTTCATGTTTACATTCATTACTTGTTGGAACAATTGTATAAAAAGTTGATTTTATTGAATCTTTTTCTGATAAATCAAATACATGTTTTTCTTTTTGATAGATTATTGTTTCTTTTCCACCTTTATATGAAGATGGTAGACTAACAAACAATTTTGCTATTACTAATGGATTTTGTTCATCTTTTGACCAAGTAAATTGTCTTGGAAATTGACATGGTTCAAGTAAAACTAATTTTGAAACTTTTAATTCAATTTGATTAGGATCAAGTTCAAGTGTTTGAGCTACACATGAACGTTTTAGATAAGATTCAATTTTTGTTTTCCATTGTGGATTTAAAATGCTAAATGAATTTGATGGTATTTGACAGGATGATGGTAAAAACTAAACAAAAAAAAACATAAAATGACAATAGTATTTCGAAAAAAAAACTGATTCTTTTTCTATGGGTTATTAACTTGGTTAGCTGTTTGATTATGATAAATTGTTTTTCTTTTTAATAAAAATACGACATTCGAAATAATAACTATCACCATTTAGAGCTCAAGGAAAGTTTTGAAGTCCTACAGAAAAGCCATAGCATTATTTTTGCTGTCGGCCAGCACGTTTTCCATTTCTTAGAAATTATAAGAAGTGTTCTTGTTCTTGTTCTTGTGATCTTCGGTTTCTTTCAAAACTTGTAATATAATGAGTGTCAGAAAAAGGAAACTTAACGCGAGGAGATCACTATGTATCAATTGTTTTCCTGGCACAAAAAGAAGCAACATACTGAAATTCCATCGACAATATCAATCTTCATTTCGAACGGTATAGCTTTTCGAATAAATCTTCGAGCTTCTCGTCTATCTAATGGTAATGATAAACATCTTTGATGACCATTAATTAATAACATTGGATCATCAATAGTTCCTATTTGTTCACTTGCACACCATCGTGGAAGGACAGATGGATTACTTGTACTTAATGCTGCATCAAGTAAACGAAGACATTCACGAAAATGAATTGGTTGTGATGTTGATCCATCAGTATCATCATCTTCTTCATCTGCATCTTCATCTATACAATTAAAATTTATTCACAAAAAAGAAAAACAATAAAATTTCATTACCTGTTGTATCGAATTCATCATAATCGCTTGTATCATCGTCATCGAAGTCTTCTTCGTCACTACTCATATTAATTCAAATATCTATTTAAATTACAGAAAAAACAAACTCCTATAAAACACTCATCTGAATTCTCTTTTTATTCTTTTTTTAAAATGTTTTAGAGAAATACAAACACACAACAATTTAGCAAAGCAAAGAAAAACAATATAACAGAATGTACTGTATTAAATAATTCGATTTCTTTACATATTTTTAATAATATCATCAATTTCTTCTTTTTTAAATAAGCGATATCCATTGATATCTACTGTTGCCATTTCAACATTTGTTGCATTTAATTTTTCTTCCATAACTTGTTTAAGTATAGTTAAAACATGTTTACATGCTTCAGATAATTTCATTGATTTATGATAAACATCTTGAAGAGTTTGATCAGCACCTTCACTACCAGATCCAATAGCTTTAGCATCATATTCTGTATATGTACCTGATGGATCAAGATGAAATAAATGTGGACCATTTTCATCCCAACCAGCAAATAAAAGTGCAACACCAAATGGACGTGAAATAGGTGCAACTTCATCCGAATCATCACTAAATGCTAATGCCATATTTGATACAGATTGTGTTATTGATTCAATAGTCATACGTTCATTGTGTGTAAACCAATGATTTTGTGCTTCAACACGTGCTTTATCAATTAATGTTTTTGCATCAGCAATTAAACCTGACATAGCACAAGCACAACTGAAATGGAGAAAAAAAAAAATTTTTTTTTCTAGAAAAGTTTATAAGAAAAAAACTTCACTGTGCATCGATTTCGACTATTTTTTCAATACTACGAGGTTCAACCAATACAGATGTAATACGTTTTTCTGTAGCCAATACAACACCTAAATATAAAATAATTTGTTACATTTTATTTTCATTAATATATAATTCTATGTTAAAGTTTTCAAAATCATCTAACCTTCTTGTGTCATAATTCCAATAGCAGTTGTACCAAATTTAATAGCTTCAATGGCATATTCAACTTGAAAGAGACGACCTTCTGGTGAAAATGTATTAACACCTCTATCATATTCACTTCTTGTCATAAACATTTTTGTATTCTTTTACTCGAATTTTTATCTAGAATACCAACAAGAAAAACACAGTCTACATTATCGATCAATGACGTTTATACTGTTTTTTTTTCTTTTAGTTAAATGTAAATTATGTACAAACAGTAATCAATTTAATTAACATTAACACTTGATAGGTATAAATGTAATTTTACTGCTAATACATGCATCTCAGTTAGTTTAAAGCCATGTTATTCTTCAATTTGACCTATCATACGAGTATATTGTTTTTTGATGATGTTGAAATAGTGGATGGCTTAAATAAATAAATAAAATTTAATCTTGTTTATCAATAAAATTCAAAACAGAAACAATAGGCGTCTTCCAAAACGTATGTGTAGACTGTATTCATGCCTATTATGTTGCAAGAGTTTTCTTTAACTTCATTTGATGTTCCTTTAAGTTTTATTCATGGTCGAGTTAGATACAGAAACGAAAAATGAAGATCATATTAATGAAATCTCTAAATGAATTTATGAAACTGATACTTGAGCAGATCAGTCACATTCTGAATGTTCGACAGTAATATCAGAAGAAAAAGTTCGTGCAATTCATATTACGAATGAAAGTGTTCTGGCTTTCTGAAATATTTTTTTTCAATAGCATTCAAATATGCGAATTCAAAAAGTTAGTTTATTTCGACGAGCTTCACACTCATTGAACTTAAAATTCTTTATATCGCTACACATGAAACTTAATATCTGCAAGATGCCTAATAAAGATTCACTTGAGTTAACAAACGAAATCGATGAAAAAAATGTCATTTTGAACTGCAAGCACAAGTAAAATACCTACAAACATGTTTGCTTCTTCTAAAAGACTTGATTTCTCCATCAAATATATGTGGGATATTGCATACGTGTATCATGATCAGCAAAAGTATGATAAAAATAATTATTTATTAGACTAGAAGTAGTGGTTAATTGAACAAATGATATACAATCATGAGCAGTTATTGTATGACGAGTATTTATTCACATTTCAAATACAATATATGATTTTGATGAACGTTCAATTACACATTCGAAATTTGGTTCATCATTACGTGCCAGAACAAACGATATGCTTTTTTTTATTAATTTACGATACTTTAAAGCTAGCAAACCTTGAATTTCAGCATTTCGGTTTAAGTTTCATATAGAAACAAGCAGAATCTGAAGAAAACAAAAACAGAATCGCATTTAACATTAACTAGTGGATGCTTCTATCGTATAACTTCTATTAGTAAGTCGCAATATGCTTGAAACAATTTCTAAAAAAAAAAAGTTATTATACAAAAGTGAAGACTAATCGTTTATGTTGGTTCTTTGTTGCCTGGATTTATATTCTTAATTTTTTGATTGGCTAACTCAATTTGACCAATAATATCAATTCAAGTATCTCTTCTTCAAAATCGATTGATTTTTTTTTTGAACGATAAAAATTGAAAATATCATAAATCAGAACTTTTGAATAATCTAGTCCTACAGGAAATGATTGTCTAAATCATTAATATATGAAATTTAACAATCATGTTAGATGTCGCTTGTCCACAAACTATTCTTTTTCTTTTGAATTTTTCCTCATAGCATTTCAAAAATTTCATTTTTATACTATAGAAATGCAAAAGGAAATTCTAAATTAATAAAACAAACCATTATTTTGCAAATTCTCAGATTCGCTTCTGATCCATACTGGCTATTAGATTTAGTCGGTATCAAGCATATTTTATAAGCGTGAGCGAAACAATCTTCTACGAGGCACAAAATGACTATTGATTAATTTTTGTAACATAGACCGTATGAAATCAGTTTATTCTTCACAAGAGTGATAGATAAGGATGCGGATATGAGGGTGCAGAAAGAACTAACACTCACAGCCGCACTACTTAAAAGTATTTTATGTTTGCTGTATTGTATTCAAATTTGTTCCTTTATCTATCTATCATCGTCAGGTGATTCTCAATCGAATGGTGAAAATTGGAAGAACTAGTAAAAATTGTTAATTCAAGAGCAGTGTTCTATTGCTCTGATCAATTTTATGTGTCCTTTTCAGATTTTTTTATTGTAATATTAAATAGTATGCCATGATCGATTGATACACGTTTGTCTATTTTTGTTTTCGAAAACTTCAATCCATAAGATCAAAATCGATCAAAGACTTTTTGTCAGGAACTGGTGCAACGTGGCAAAATGCATTGAATTGTTCATTCTTCTTCACAGTCTATTGTATTCAACAGTATCAATGAATTCGGAGAACGTTTTCGTAAGTAGTACACTATAATTGTTCAGCCAGAGCTACCTCAACTCAAATTAATTCAGTCTAGGGACTGGATTGAATATAACCGATAAAGTTCATTTACATCATTGAATTGACAAAAGAGGCAAAACTATCAGCTATTAAGGTATTGAATTGAATGAAACTAGAAGTTTTTCTCATATAAATTTCGATGAATTGATTTTGAATTGAAATGAGCTGTTCAGCTTTGACTTCAGCATTGTTACATAATCGACTTTCTTGCGCATTACAGCGAGCATTAGAAAACGACATTAAATGGTTAGATTTTGATCTAAATTCGAAAGAATGACCACTTGAATATGTGGAACAATGACTTTCGTCAAATTGCATAAATCTTGTTGCTTCTAGAATATATATTATTTGCTCAAGTTCTCTAGCATCAATTGAAGACGCTCATTCTTCTCTTAACTAAGGAAACTCTTATGATGTATAGACGGACGCTGACTTGTTGAATTATTGTTCAGCAAAATGTTTAGACAATAAATAGTGCAATACGACATCGTGTACCAACTTGAAATTCTGACGGCTGTCAATCCTGCATAGCATTGTTATGACAGACATCATTCATACTCACATATTCTTATCACTCATATCATTGAACAACGACAAAAACCAGTGCACCTCTATCATATTTCTGCATTCGTGATCAGACAAATAAACGACTTTTCTCCATCAGATATATGTCCGCTACATTATCTGTCTGAACACGTAGAATTTCAGTTTATTCGATTGAATTTTTATTCCAGCTTACATGCTTTTCTCATAGAATTTTGATTGATATATCGATATTTTAAGGTTGTTATTAGTGTCTCTGATTAACTGCCGTCACTATCGCAAGATAAGAAAAATCAATGGTGAAGATTTCAAAGCCCACAAAATCCGTTGAATGTATCACGTGGATGAAATTAGTTCTGGCCGTTGTTCCATCTATTGTCTTTGGTGTCTTCACTGTTGTGTTCACGCTTCAGCAAAATTCTTTATCGAAATCGACACTGGAATTAGAGCGACAGCAAGGTGCACAACAATGAATACAGTCTATCTTCGAAAATTGCATCGATGCAATCACTAATGTCCTCATCAGCCCCGACTTCAATGGTAGCAACATCGCACATCTTCGACCAATTCGTGAAAAAGTACTTGCTGCTCTTCGCCATCTTGATGCGACACACAAGAGAGATATTATACTTTTTTCTGCACACAAACAAATTGATTCGAACAGACACTCCACCTGAATAGCGGTTAGACCTACTCGGTGCGGATCTCCATGGGGTACAGTTTATTAAGCCAGAGACGATTGATTGCGATCTCCAGTATCTATATTTGCGAGGAGTCCGAACCTTCGATGCTATTTTCTCTGGGTGTGGACTTCTAAAATCGGACTTTGGAGACAGTGTGATGAACAGAAGTTGATTCTATAATTCCTTCTTAGAATTTGCTGTTTTTACGGATGTTGATCTCACGGGAGCTACGTTGGTTCATAACAGTCTCTACAGAGTGAATTTTGCAGGCGCAGCCTTGTTACAAGCGTCGTTCTTCAATAATAGCCCGTTTCATAATATTAATTAGACGAACGCTAACCTATTCCGCAGCAATACTGATAGCCAGATTCTATTAAGACCTTTACCTTCTGGGAATACAAACATAATAATCAACACTCGCTTTCCCAATGGATCCTTTTCAATTGATACATCACAATTGATAACAGATGGTGGAGCTGAGGAAAAAGTATGCTCTGCATATTTGGTGAAAAACCAAGATAGTATTTCAGATTTCTATCACGACCAAGCGAGGAAAAGCATACTTCTGCACTTCTAAAGTGCAGAGAAGTTTAAAGAATTACCAAGAATACCAAGAAAGTATTAAGAAGAATGAACTAGTACGAAGATGTATAGAGACATATGCAGAAGTACAGAAGTATGCTTTTTCTCTCTTGGTCACGACAATAAAAACCTAACGAAAGAGCAGTTGTTGGTGAAACCCAATATATTATTCACAATTAGCTATCATATGCACATTCAACTCAATCACTTATATTGATCTTTGAAGCGTTTCATGTAACAGCCTTTTCAAAACCACTAAGAATTTACTGTTCTCCTTTTTTTTGCAGTGTAGAGCTCGAGTTCTCAATGTACCTAGTGGCTGGTATGTAACAGATAAAAAATCAGAGATGGGCGTACACAAACAAATTGGAAATTCGGACATCCATCCTTTGGCAGTCGAAGGTAGTTGTTACTTTCTAGCAGAGAATCTCAGTTATCTCGATCAAGACATAGTGTACGCCGATTTTCAAAACTCATTGACAATGGTCAAGCTTCGTTAAATATGTCAGTGCACTTTGGTTGCTCTCAGGCTCACCAAAATGATGAGGCAGTCATGTATCTCGGTTATTTAAATGAACGATATCAGCCCATTCTAACTACAGACCCAAGTAAGATTTTCGAACGATTTCATTCACATGAAAATAGTCACATATGCTTTCATAGTTGTACGAACAAAAAACAAGCCATTTCAATTTAAGTCAAAGATTTCGGCTATTCCTATTAGCACGCGCACAATCAAAGTATATATTACAGCAAGCATTGTCAACTTGACGACGACTAGCATTCTTCGATATTGTGTGTTCGATGCACTTAAATTATTTATTTTCGACAACAATCCAAATCCATAGTTACACTTGACAGCTTTCTGACTTGAAATTTTCTACCTCACGCAGTGAACTTTATAAAAAACATTTTTAGACCCAAAGGCATTAACTCTTTTTATGTGGAAGATATTTGAAGAAGAAGAAGAAAACGAATACATATACATGATCCAGAATTATGCATAGAAATTACAATATCTAGTTCAATTTTGTGACCTAATCAATTTTGCGATTCGTTATTAGAATAATCAAAATATTTTTTTCAAGGTAGATTGAGGACGTTCTAGACGAATGATATCCTAAGTTCATATTCGAGTATTTCCGGAAGGCTTCTTCTATCAGCTGAATTCAACAAGTTCATGCTGTCTACGAGTGGAAATCAAAAACTTCTATAGAATGGTTATCACTTTCAAAAACGAATTGAAGCAACTTGAATTAGTCAAAAATACTGCGAAAAATAGATCATAAAAATCCAAATTTCGAAATTGGAGTCGATTCATTTCGAAATGCTCTTTTCAACGACAATAGTCTCGTCTTGATCCGGTATACACAAGAGGAGATATTCTTGCAATAATGGCATGGTCACATGTAAAAGTTACTAATATTTGCACATTTCCATAGTTGCGCTTGGTCCCTTCACAGCTAATTGTGATCGAGCCTATTTTCGGCATCATTTGTCAAAAATGTAAAGCGTATGCTGCATTCCATTTCGCTAGCAGTTCTGCTGGACCATTTTTTCCGCTTTTCAATCCTTTGCACACTAAGATATTGAGTTGGGGAGCTATGTAAGCCAAGCTGAATTCTTCCAATATTAAACTGTATTATTAAATTGTCTCATTTGATTTGTTTTTAAATACCTGGCTTTTCAATCAACATTGGGTAATACGTTAACACGATCCACGAAATAAAGACTAACGAGGGAACCGTTCGAAGTGATTCAAAGCTTTTAAGCCGATATTTTGCCGATAAGTAGAGTCCAATGAGATTAGAAAAAGCCCAAAAGGACAAGGGCCCATGGGCCTTCCTTCTCGAGTTATGGTCATTTTACTGGGTTTATCACCTATGATACGATATTCACCGAAAAATCAAATTAAGGAGTTTCGACCTGAAATTTTGCCCACAT